GAAAATGATTTTTGGATTGATGCTGGCAGATTAAAAAACTTTCGCTGGAATGAAAAATTTCCGGAAAACTTTCCTTTTTTTTTTTTTTTTTTTGATGGTGGTCATCATAGTTGACCAAAAACCAAATGTCATATATGAATGAATTGAGATAAAATTTGAAATTGAAAATCTTTTTTGTTGTTGTTGTTGAATGTGTGTGTGGTTATTTATGATAATCGACATAAAACGACAACACACTGTGTGTGTGTGATTCAATTGATATTTTGTTTTCCTAGTTTTTTTGTTGTTATTGTTCCTATTGAAAAAAATGTTGAATGATAGTTAATCATCATGTCCATTTCAATTGATGATTCTTTTTTTATTCTTTGGATTCTTCTTTTCTTCGGATTCTGATCTTGTGATGAGATTGATGATAGCAATGAAAATCTTTATGGCCATTTGATTTTGGATCAACTTTTTCTCTCTTTTGAATCTCACAATATGAAATATTGATAATGATAATTGAATCAACAACAAAAAACAAACTTGAAAATATTAATAGTTGTCATCTGAAAATTGAATTGAAAACGATAACTTAAAACGATAATAAAAAAATAAAAAGTTGTCAAAGCCAAAAATAGTATTGATGGGGAAAAAATAACCATAAACTTTCTGGTTATTATTTTCGGAATCATAATTGCGGAAAAAGTTTTTCTTCTCTCGTTCATCCATCAATCCAATTCCAAATCGATTTAGTTTGGTTAGTTTAGTTTACTGTAATTGTGGTCAGCCAAACAAACAAACAAACAAAACAAAAATTAAATTCATGAATTTCGATTAAAATTCGATTAGAATCTTCGTAAAGTATAATCATCAATCGGTCTTGATAGGACTGATTAAATTAATTCTATCAATGATGATGATGATTATTTTGGAAAAAAAAACTTTTTTTTTCTCACTATTTCGACTCACATTGATGGACAATTTCTTCCTTCTTCTTCTTAATCATCATCCTTTTATCAGTGATAAGATTTCTGTCATCATTTATTGTGACCAAAAACTGATTTTAATCTTTTTCAACAACGAAAACTTTTTTTTCCTGGTGGTGGCTAAAATCTCATATCATCATCATCTTCAACACATCACACATTTAAACCAAACCATCTTGAATAATGTTTGATTGTGTCAGTGATGATGATGATCGGATAATTAACAAAAAAAAAATTCATCAATTCAGCTGAATCTTCAAAGGCAATTTTCTTCAACGTTATTCATTTGCTTTTTTTTCTTCTTCTTCTTCTTCTTCTGGAAATTCATTTCATTTCATCGATTTTTGTTTTCATCATCATCACTTTACTTTACTTTCATTCATTCATTTTTGTTTCTCATTGTCTTTGAAAACATCACTTCTGTCAATCTTATTCATTCATTCATTCATTTGCAATGTATGAAATGTTTTTGTTCAATTTTTTGGAAGAAGAAAAAAAAACGAATAAATCGATATTCCATCATCATCATCATCATCATCTTCAATGACATCCACTATTCATTCAGACTTTATCATTTTTCCAAAAGAGAGAGAGAGAGAGAGAGAAAATCTTCATGATTTTACTGCTGAAAAAAAATTCTTATTTTATTCATTGTCTTTACCCGCCGACAATTATTATTATAATGATGATGATGATGCTTATGAACTAAGCTTAAATCGATTCGATTCATATAAAAAATGATGATGATAAGCACACTACTTTAGTCAATGAATAAATTTGAAAATATGAAATTCAATAATGATGATGATGATGATGATGATGATGATGAAATCGTTTAATGATAAAATACCTTTGATTTTCGATTATTATAATGATGCGTGAAAAAAAAGTGTTTTGTGTTTGCGATCAACATGTTTTGTTGTTGTTGGAATATTTTATGGAAATTAAATTAAATTATCAACTTTTCTCTCGCTAGTTTGTCAGTTTGATCATCACCATTCAATAACAGGATTTTTTTATTGTTGCTTGTAGCTATTTTACTTTTACAAAGGTTTTTCCATTTTTTTTCGGCAAAAAACACCTTAAAACACCCACACACACACACAAACACACGGATAATGATGGATGCTTGAGCATTTCAACATTTTTTTTACCCGTACAAATTCCCGTACACAAATATAATGATGATAATAATAATGATGATGCCGAATCAATTTTCGTTACCGATGTCATTATAATGTTCACATCATCATCATCATCATACAAAACCGTTGTAAATATCTGTTTTATTTCAACCTAAATTTGTCTCATGGGTGTGTATATATCTGTGTATCCGTGTATCTGTATGTTTGGTTCCGGGTTAAATTTTATCATTTTTTCTGATCTGTTTTGAAGAATCTTTTTTAATGAAGCTAGTTTGTTGTTCGTTGAAATCTAGTTGATGAAATAAACAGATAATCATCATCATTTTGATTCAAAATTTATTCATTTGTGCCTGCATTTGCTGTTAACACTTGATTTACATCACATTGAAAAAGAAAAAGAACAGGGATAATTTGATTGATTCGTTAATTGATTAATGATTTTTTTCTCTCTTCAAATTATAGCATTACTTTTGAACTGGTGCCATATGGATTGAAGAAAAAAAAGTTTGATTCAATTTCCAAAAAGAGAAAAAGACGTATCACGCTTTGCATCAATAAATCTTTTTTTCAAATTAATTTAAAAATTTAAAAAAAAAATTTTAAAAAATGAAACATAAAACCATATTAAAGCCATTTGATGGCAGTGACCATCATCATTTATCAATTGATAATTATCATCATCAGGATGGTAGAAAAGTTATGTTATTTAATGATATTTCCAAAAGAAAATTGCAATCTTCGACGACGACGAAGACAAAGACGAAGACAACCACCACATCTTATAATCCATCAATTAGATTAAAATCACCATCAACAGATGATAACGATGAGGAAGATGCCATGATTGATTCAGCCATCATCATTGATATCAAATCAAATTCAAATAATAATGATTGCTCACAATATCATCATTGTAGAAAATTTAAATGTAAAAATTCATCATCAACAACAATTAGTCATTTTGAAAATATATTGCCAACAAATACATTATCATCATTAATATATTGGCTATTTATAATTACGATAATAATCAATATAACAATAATATCAACTGCATCCAGTAATAATCATACATCCAATATTCGTCGTTCAGGTATGTGATTTTTGTTTATTTGTTTTGCTTGTTGTTGTTGTTGTTGTTTTGTTTGTTGTTGTTGTAGCCATTAGATGAAATATATTTTGACCAAATCCATTATGATTATTTTTTTCGGCAATTGATCCATAATCAACATTATCATCATCTTTGGATATATCCTGAATACATAGAATAACAAATTCCCTAAGCTACTTCATTTTCTGTTTTTTTACTTTCTTTCTTTCTTTCCTTCTCTGTTTATAAAAACAAAAAAATTCTGGAATTATGATATTGGCTCATCATCATCAGATCCCGAAGAAAAGAGAGAAAACAAAACAAAACGAGAAAAAAAAAAGTTATTCAAAGTAATTTTCTTTCATTTTACTGTTACATTGGTGATGATGATATTTTCGATTTAGTTGTTTGTTGTTGTTCTTTGGAAACATTTTTTTTTCTTCCAATAAGTAATTTTCTTTTTTGTCTTTTGATGACCAAAAAAACAACAAAAAATGCTTATCGATAATAAGTTTGTGATTGTTTTGCTTTGTTTTTGTTGTTTGGACAAAATCACTTCGAAAGCAAACAAACAAACATTCAAATCACACAGTTTGTATATGAAATCGATTCTGGAACAAATTTTACTTTGGTTTGTAAAGTTTTCTTTTAAACAACGATAATAACTACATCGACCAAACGAATGAGAGAATAATTCCGGAAAGAAAAAAAAAGAAAAAGTTCTCATAAAAAAAACCTTCAAAAAGATTCAAAAAAAAGTGAATCAAAAATAAAAGCCAAAACGAATGGAAATTTTTCATTCGTTTTTTGCATTAAAAATGAAACACCAGGAAAAAAACAATGGAAAAAATTGGAATAAAAAAAACGTTCATTTCTTCTTCAGGCCAGAAAGATACTTATGATTTATTTCATATTATTTTTTTTTCTCCATAATAATCATAATAATAATGTGTAATAGCAAACGAATGAGGCAAGCAAAAAAAAAAAGAAAAAGAAAACTCGATTCAATTCTCACTTCACTCAGGAGTAGTATCTGAGAAAATCTATTCTCAATATTTTTCCTCCCCTCGCATCTTATTTCTCAATAGGCTCATCATTCGATGTGCAAAAATATTTAAATCATTTCTTTTTGCTATGAGGTTTTTTTTTCGGTCTGAATAATGGCAGAACAATTCTCTGGACTTTCAAGAGAATCAAGAATTTTGAGAGAGAGAGAGAGAGAGAGAGAGAGAGAGAGAGAGAGAGAATCACTATCTGTCTGTCTGTCTGTACAAAATTTTTGTTTTGTTTCTACATTACATTATTACCCGTCCAAACTTAACGAGAAGAAATATGAATGGATGAATGAATTGAAATGGTGAAACAAAAAAGCGAAGAAATCGGTGTTTGTTAATATCCGAACAGAAAAGGAAAAAAAATCTTATTCCAAAATGATTCTTGCAGAATTGTTTTACACCTCGATTTCCAAATGATATTCTTATTTCTGGGCCTTGTTTGGTGAATAATAAGAAAACAAAGAATAATGGCCGCTATCATTATTTTCAAAAAAAATTCATATCAATAGCATTAACAACATACAACAGCGAAAATAGACAAACAAACAAACAGAATTGTAGGAGAAACGAAAAAAAAACGATTCTATCATGCATCACTTGTCTATCACATGTCATTCATCGTTATATTTATCATATGCAAACAAAAACAAAACATACGATAAATTCTTGTAACGGTAAAAGGAGAGAAAAAAAACGTAAAACTGTGTTTTTTCGTGATATCATTTAGTAGTCGTTGAAAACTTTTTCGCTTCTGTCCATTGTAAGATTTACACAGAAAAAAAAGGTTTGGATTTCAAATTTGCAAAAAAAAATTTTCCAAAATGAACAATCCTCAATCGCCATGGACCATCGAATATCAACAGCAGCAACAATCATGTTTTTAAAATCTCACAAATATCGATCGCTATTAAAAATAGTAAAGGGAGAAACTTTTGTTTTGTCAAACTAAAACAGTGAAACAAAAAACAAAACAAAAAAAATCTCATTTGAATCAATGAGAATCATGGTTGAATAAATTTATTTTGAAAACACTTGAATGTGTAACCAAGATAGGAAAACAAAACAAAACGAAACGAAAAAAAACATTTGAAACAAACAGCAAAGTTTTCAATCATCATAGTTTTTTCACTGTGTTTTGTTTGCCAGAATTTTGCCAGTTTATTTTCTTTTTCTTTTTCGCACTCCCCATTTTTTTTTGGCAAAATAGTTTTATTTAAATTTTTTAAAGTTTTTTTTTGTCACATTGAAATTTGTTTTTTTGTTTGTTTGTTAGTTTACTGACTACGATGATGATGAACAACAACGACGATTTTTTTCTATTTGGCCATTGCCAAGATGATAAAGAGAGATTCAAAACCAATTTGGTTTCCATGTTTTTTTCTTCGAGTAGAAAAAAAAATTTCCAATCATCAAATTTATCGTTGAGAAGCAACAACGAATACAGTGAGCATGTTTTTGTTGCCAAGGTTTTTTGTTTTCGATTGAATATTGAAACAAAAAAAAAATTTTCTCAAATTAAAGAGACCAAAATAAAATGGAAAATGGAAAAACTTGAAATACAAAATACAATCAAGAATCAAGTAAAAGCAATGGAAAAATAGAGTTGTTTTACACTTCAAACGACTGATGATGATGATAGCTGATACACCCAACCAACAAACACCCACACACACACACACACACACAGACATTAGAACATTATCATCACACTTGAACATTACCGAAATGTATTTGACCCTTTTTTTATTTTCGCTGCCGTTGTTGGTTGCATCCATTAAGATGCTTGAAAATGGAATTGAAAAAGAAAAACGAAAAAATTTTTGTTTATTTTGGACAATAATGCCTATCCTGTTTCATCATTTCTGTCGTTGAATTGTTTTCCACTTAACCTTTAAGGAATCATTTCTTTTTGTTTTTGTTTTTTGGCTGTAAATTGAATTGAACATTTCTTTTTTCGCATTTTGTTTGTTTGAACAAATGACAAATATCCGATGACCGATATGTAAGAGAGAGAGAGAGAGAGAGAGAGAGAGAGAGAGAGAAAATGGAGAAACAAAAAAAAAAACAATGTTTCATCTTAACGGATCAAATTATGTTTCCCTTTTTTTTCATCAATTAATCAATTTTTTGTTTTGTCATTTCAAAAGGTAATTTGATATGATAATGATTTGCTGCAAAAAAAAGTGGCCAACAAAAAAAAAAGTTTTGTTTTTTTCCCATTGCTAAACAAACAAAACAAAAATCAGATCCAAAAATAATAATAAATATTTCAACACAAACAAACAAACNTCTCATTTTTTTTGAACAAAAGACAAATATCCGAGGACCGATATGTAAGAGAGAGAGAGAGAGAGAGAGAGAGAGAGAGAGAGAGAAAATGGAGAAACAAAACAAAAAACAATGTTTCATCTTAACGGATCAAATTATGTTTCCCTTTTTTTTCATCAATTAATCAATTTTTTGTTTTGTCATTTCAAAAGGTAATTTGATATGATAATGATTTGCTGAAAAAAATAGTGGCCAGCAAAATTCCAGTTTTTCCCACTGCTAACGAACAAAACAAAAATCAGATCCAAAAATAATAATAAATATTTCAACACAAACAAACAAACAAACGAATAACCGTTTTGTGTGTCGGTAATTATATAATTTTTACGGATATTTCGTGTGACTTTTCATTCATTCATTCACTAATCATTATTATGATTATCATAATAATGGTGGTGGTGGTCTTTGAATAGTTTTTTCTTTTCTGTTCAGTGGTGGAAAAATTCTTGAAATTTCCATGTTGTTTTTGTTTATGGTTGACAAAAAAAATAAATTTTTTTTTTATTTCACTGACCATTTCAAATGAATCGTTTTCGGATATTTTCACGAATATTCTCCATTTGCTACTGTGGTTAAATCTTGGCTGTTTTCCATAAAAAAAACAGTGAAAAAAAATTGTTTTGATTTATGATTCTTCGCTATCGTTTTCTGTCTTTTACTAAATCTTTTTTTTGTTGTTTGTTTTTGTGATTTGATTTATGATTTCATCATAACGATGAATGATCATTAATAGTTTAGCACAGGTTCTTGTTCCAAATCATTTGAGGCTTTTTTATTCTGTGATTCTCTGTTTACAGTAGTGACAATTTTGGTTTTTTTTTTGTTTTTTATTTGCAACCTTGATAATAGTGTTTGTTTGTTTTATCATGGAAATCTGTGTGGTTTTGGACCACCGATCTCTTGATGATTTCGGTTTATTGCTCTTGATTCTTTACTGACCGTGATTACTTTTATGATTTTAAATTCCTGAATTTAATTTTTCTTTTGTTTTTTTTTTTTTGTTTTTTCTCAAAAACCAATAGGACGATTACCACCACAACGTTTCGAGATGGAACCAATCGATAAAACATCAATTATTGGTGATACAATCATATTACCATGTCGTATAGCAAATAAAGTTGGTACATTACAATGTAAGTAATCAATTAATTAATCCCCCAAAAACAAAAACTTAAAGTTTTCATTCAAAAAATACTTGATTTTTTCTGTGACATTGATGAATTTGTTTGTTTCATTTTTTCCCCATATCTTACTGTATCTCTTTCAACTTTGCAAAAAAATCTTTGCTAGATTCGAATCAAAAAGCATCATTATTATCATCACCATTATCATCATCATCATCATTTAGGAATTCATTTTGAATTGTTCATCATAATCATTATATTGTGTGTTCAATGATTAAAGATTTTGTAGAATTTGTTCTTCCCCCAACCGAAAAAAAACCGCTAAACAACAGAATCTGGTAACATCTGGTTTTCTGTTGTGTGCTTGTGTTTTGATGTTGATATTGTTGACAACAAGGACCGTTAAATAATGTCAGCACATCTTTTCTCTCATATTCTCACACTCGCTCTATGCAAAATAATAACCCGGTAAACGTGCAATATAAAAACGATGATGCCAGCATTTTTTGATGCCAGTCAACAGTGATGATAATTGATGCAAATGATGATAATAATAATACACTTGATATTATCATTTTAATTAAATTTGATTTTCATTTTCATTTTTCATGAATGAAATCAACAAAAAAACAAACGTAATAAACATTCGGCTTGACAGACAGATCGTCTGTGATATATGTTTTGTTTTGTTTTTTTTTTCAACTGACGAAAGTCAATTTTGACTTTTTTCTCGTCGTTGTTTTTTGTATTTAAAAACTTTTTCTCGTCGCTGTTGTTGTTGAAACTTTGATGTTTTTTTTCTCCTGATTTTAATGACCAAAAAAAAGGAAAATTTTTTCAAAACTTTTACCTCGGTCCGGTGAAAATTCCTAAAAATAAACAAACAAGACACCGGAATAAACCCTGGTTTGAATAACTTGTCGCAAATTTAATTTCGGTAGTTAATTTAATTTCATTATTGTTTTTCGGAAAATAATTACCGAAATACACACACACACTGTGAAAATAGCCGAGATTTTTTTTTCTGTTTGAAAATTTTCTTTTTCACTCTCTGATCAAATTCATTGAGCGAAAAAAAAAACACAAAAAACTTTTGGTTGTTGCAAAACAAATTCCTACTCAAATGACTGTGTCAAGATTGATATTGTTTCACAAGATTCTATCAATTTTTTTTCGTCTTCTTCTCCATCCCTGATTCAATGATAATCAAACACGAAAAAAAGTTTTTTCTCATTCTGAGCTTGTGTTACATAATAATAATAATATTTTCAAGAATAACCCGAAGGCAATTTGATGGGCGCAATGTTAATGAATTGAGTGTGTCTGAAATTGAATTTCCATTTATCTGAATGTCTATGTTTGAATGAACTTTTGATTGAATTTTGGTTTGGTTTGGTTTGGTTTCAATGTGGTCACTGTGTATGATGTGAATTTTTTCTCTTTCGAGTGTGTCATACGTGAATGGTCAATTGTCGTTGGCGTGAATTTTTGAAACAAAACCAGAAAACAAAAAAATTGTCGCATGGTTGAACAAAAGCAACGATATCCAACAATGATGACAATTTTGCATTTAGTGGATGATTTTTTGCTTCTCTGTCAACAATGATTACATTTTTACCTGCTGCTGTTTCTTTATCAAATCAAATGGACTCTGCACACAACATCAGCTAATGAACCTTTCTTCAAAAAAAGAATTTTTTACTTTTTTTTCTGCTGTTCATCAAGATTCAATTGCATTATCGATCATTGCATTGATTATGGAATTGTAATAACTTAGTTTTCACTTAATTCAATTCATAAAAGTGCGCATATAGAATTGATTAAAAACTTTTTGGTATATCTTGAAATAAGAATTTGAAATCAGAACTTGAATGAAAAAAAATTTCAAGAACATCAATCAAGAAAATCTGTCGATGTCTATTATTAAATCAAAGCACATAAGAGAGAAATTAACCTTAAGGGCATTATGATCATAATGTAATTTTTGATTGGAAGAAAAAAGAAAAAATCTTTTCTATAGTTTGATTTGGAAGAAAAAAATGTGATTATTATTAAAATTCTGATCAAACTAATCGAATTGATCTGATCGAATCTAATCTAATTGATTGATTAATTAATGAATATTAGATTTTGTTGTTGTTGTTGTTAGTTGGCAACAGTAGCAGGTAGCAGTTTGCAATAGTATCATTTATTATCAATTCAGGTACATTTTTTTTTCAGAAATTCTTCAATCATTTTTAATCATCATCATTATCATTATCTATGAACACTCCTTGAATGAAAACCCATCAATGATTTTTTTTGTTTCTTTCTTCGAGATTTCTCAGAATAACTTTGAAAATCTTTGAACTTGAATGTATGCAAAAACAATAATTATGAATAGAGCACCTTTTCCATAGCCAAAGCTGCTGGTCATCCAAGGTGACCATCGTTTTCTTCTTCTTCATATCTTGATGAATCAAGCAAAAACATAAACATGAAAATTACATTTTTGGTCAGCAAGTTGTTTTCATGGATCGATGCTTTTTGCTTTTGTTGTTGTTGTTGTTCGTAATCATCATTATAAAATGACCTTAACTTTCTGCTACTTCTTATCTTTATTTGATTATGATTCATATATTTTTTCCCTCGGTTTAAAAAACATTAATTATTAACTTTGATTTTTTTCCACTGTTTTTCTATTTTCTCTCGATTGATCACCAACAGGGACAAGAGATGGTTTTGGTTTAGGTACTGAACGTACATTAGAAGGATTTCAACGTTATCGTATGATTGGTTCGGATGATGAAGGTAAGTGAAATTCAAAATGAAAAATTCTTCAAGAATTTTACATGAAGGGAGAGAATATTTATTCGTTTCGAAATTTTTTGATAAAAATTCATTTCAATTTTAAATTCTTTCTTTGACCACAGAATCAAAGAAAATAAAGCGAAAAAAAAGTTCAAACACGTTAGATATTTATACGCTGTGTGTGCAATAATTTCATAATTCTCCACATGACATTTCTTTCTTTTTTTTCTTTCTTCTGCCTCTCATTCGTTTGATAAATAAATTTTCAATAGAGAAAAAAAAGTTTTCAGAAACGAAAAAAATTATTTCGCATTAATTTTCCAACAACTTTCACACAAACATAGTGTGGGCAAACTTTTTTTTTGCTAACCAAAACACAAGAATAACCTAACCTTTTCAATGAAAATAAAAATGAAAGATGAAAGTTTTCAAAAGTAAAAAAAAGAGAAAATGTTATCATTTTAAATTAAAATTAACAACACACACACACAGCCGAAAGAAAAATTTCGGCAACAAAACCGAAAGAAAAATTGCTTTTTTTGTGGAAGATTCTGGAAAAATTTCTCAGGAGTAAATTTTTCTTTTATTTTTTAAGAGAGTTCATCCTTGAACTAGCTTACTATAGTGGTGATTTATCAGTATCCATAGAGATTTAATAATGGTGAATCTTTTTTTTTTTCTTTCTGAAAATTTTCCCCATTTTTTCGGTTGCAATCCCCATTCGTTGTCATTCGTTTTTCAACATTTATTAAACCGATGTTTTTCAGTTTTGTTTCAAGACAAACTTATTAAACTACTAGATTTCTTTGATTAGATGATAATCGATTTCTTTGATTCATGGCTACTATTGTGTGGTTAGTGTTTTGGAAAATTTTTCAGAAAACCCCTTTTCTGTTGTTTTAAAAAAACAATTCTTGTAATCAATTTGAAAAAAAGGTCTGAAATCGATCCAAAATAGAAGAAAAAAAAATGAATGAATGAAATCAATGCTATAAACAACCAATAATTTTCTATCGACGCACACAGATAGAGATAAATTATCATCAAGTCCATTTCGACCCTAAATGAATCTTGTTAAGTGCTTGGCTCTTTTTGGATATTTTTCCTTCCGAATGTCTGTGCTTTAAAATAATGATTTTTTAAGTTTTATTTCATTTTTAGTCTCAATTTTTTTCACAGAACCTTCCCCATCATCATCATCAACATCATCTCAAAGATGATATTTTATTTAATCTTAATTGTTTCAAAATTCTTTGAAACACAGAGAAAGGCAGAGAGAGAGAGAGAGAGAGAGAGAGAGAGTAAGAGATACCGAATGATGATGTTATTATTATTGTTTTTCGTTTGAGCAAAGTTAATGTGTCTCCAAAAAAAGCGTATGTTTTTCTGTTGCTCGTAAGATTTCATTTTTTTTTTGGCTATTATTTTTTCGTTTTCAAATGGAACACGTAGGTGGATATAGTGCGTCAATTTTTTTTTCTATTCCCCAATCTTGGAAGTAAAATAGTGGCACTTTACTGTCCATCGGGTTGATCTCACTCTCTATGGATGGACCTGGTTTGCAATTGCATTTTCTCAACAAAAAAAAAAAAAAAAAAACGAAAAAAAAATGAATGTAAAATTTTGAAAAAAAAAACCAAAAAAAAAAAAAACGAAAATGTTTTCCGTTCA